TCTGTCTTTCTCATCAATCATATTCAAATAGCCTCGATGAAATGTATTCATATTGTCTTAGTAAGCTAATATTTTGACTAGACAATGAATAGTCATGAAACTTTTAAACACATCAGTCCATTACTATTTAAAAGCAATTCATTTGAATTCCATACAAATGGTCTATTACAATGTAAACAAACTACATTATCCTTTAATTGTACAAGAGAAGCATGTCTTTTCTTTGTTACCAACAGTTGAAAGACACTGCTATGTGTCATATAGCATATGAAACGCTATTTTTCTCCCTGATAACCTATTGTTTTCATTTGAATTTACTGCAAGAAACATTCACATTCTGAGCTTTCTACGCAATCAATGATGCCGCTAGTTAAGATGAGAAAATAAAAAGTGTGAAATTGGAATTAAAATGAATATTGTTTTTGAAACCGAAAGATTTCTTGGAATTGAGATGATTTTTCAAAGCTTCATCTAATTTAGTAAATGAGTGACATTTATTAGAACTGCAAGTTGCATACAAGAAAAAGAAAAAGAAAAAGAACAAGAAACAAAAGCCAGCAAAAATATATAAATCCATTTAAACTTATTGATGACTATAACCACTTGGTTTCTGCAATAAAAGAAAAGACTATATTAGATACGGATATAATACTAGAGAGAATAAGAAAACTTACGCAATTTGATTGTTTTAAAAGGTTGACAATCCAGTGTACCTTTTTAATGCGGTGCGAAGCACAGCATTTATGTAGTCCGTCGCGAGTTTTTTTTAATTCCATCAGCTGATTTAAAACATTGACCCAACTGATGTGAAGTGTTTCCTTTGACTATATGTTCAATAATACATCGTCCAAACGATTATTCGTCTTTTCTGATTGTTAAAGTTTTCGATAATTCAGAATTCGTGCTTCGCACCGCATTTCGTATTCGAGATTCTCTCCAATACCATCTAGTTCATTAAGTCATCATCGTTTTCTAAATTCGAACTTTTGAAGCTATTAACGAAGTAATCAAATGATAATTCTGTTGTTCGAGTTTCCATCGTGTATTCGTACAATTGCTCCAAATGCCATTCAAGTATTGCTTGAAGTTGAAATATGAACTTGTGAATATCTATTATAAGAATAACCCAGATATACTATAAGTTTTTCAGACGAATAAAGACAGTGATCTTTTTGTAGTGAATGATGAAAACAAGAAAGTTTTACTCATCGGAAATCAATAATATATTCTATATCTTTTTCCTATCAACCATGATATAGTTTCATATTCTAAAGATACAGTAACATTTCTTTGGGAAAAAGGTAGAGAAACATTGATCATATAACGGATTGAAAAATCAAATATCTTTCAAGACAAGATGAACTATGGGGTACGATTCATAAGTATTTCTGTTCTGAAATGTTGTTATGAAAAATATTAACCTGTGACGTTTTATATACATACTACTGATTGTCTCTCATCAAGTGAATAATGGATGAAGCATAGTTTGAAAGACACAGGCACTGTTTTAAAGATGACGAATGATTATAGTTTTTTGAGAAATTAAAATACGTTCCCTTCGAAATCTTTATAATAATCATAAGAAAAAGATGAGAAAAATCTTGATTCGAGAGTGATAATCAAAATCTTTTAGTAGTTTAATGTTTATGCCACACCAATATTCGGAATTACTTTCTAGATTCACCGATTTGTCTTCTATTTCTATCTGATTCCTTAACAGTCTTTAACTAATAAATTTCTTGCAGATCATTAAACCAATTAAGAGGACAAAATGTGAAGAAATTTCTACTTCAAGTCGAAGACGAAGCAATGAATTTTAAGGCTTTATAAGACCTAACGGGTCTTGAAGCCTGATGCTGCCCTTGTTTCAAATGCACATTCTCAAGGTATGATACTTTTATTAGATTTTTTCATTTAATAGAAAGTAGTATTGTTCTTCACAATTGGATAAATGAAGTTCGTCTTCAATATTGCTTGTAACTTAATTTAATATAATCGTTAGAATATTATTCAAAACATGCTGAATGACAGAAAATATTTCATTCAAGAGAAGCTTAATTTAAAAAAACACATTGTATTTCAGAAAAACTCTTCAGAAATGGTGTCTTTTGTGGAACTTATATATATTTGTTGCAGAAAAATAGTGGTATAAGTTTTAATTTAAGGTTTTACAGCTTTTTTCATCCTCTCTATCCATAGCCACTGAGGATGAGAATTTTCCAAGGTAAATGAATACATTTACGATAGCAATGGGGATTCAAAAGTCAATGGACACGTTTGCCTAGCAACTAAGAACAGTGTAAAATCCCTTTTCTGTAGTTCCTTGGCAACAAAAAGACGCTGAACGACAGTAAAAATTATCCTTCAATCCTTCTAGAGGGTTCTAGAACATTCTAAAATTTTCGCCAATAATCAATATAGGAGTCTTTGTGTTTATCCCGATACAGGATGGAGTGTTGAGATCTGTTGGGAATTTGTTATAAATACATGTATATACGAAGCGAAGCCCGGAAGTAAACCAATAATAAGAAAAATACAATCAATAATTAATTCAACAAAACGAAACAAAAACAGGACATGATTAGCGGGTAAATAGCAAAAAAACGATATAGTATAGGATGCCAGTAAGAAAAATCTCTATCCAAAATACAATAATAAAAAAAGATAAAGTATTTCTTTGATATTCGACTATCTTTAGGAAGTAAATATCATTGTTCAAAAAACCTTGAAATCTATAGTTTAACAATAAAATGAGATTCAGAAAAGAGATTTACTAAAAAACAGCGAAATAGTAGATTACCTTGTGATTTAATTGCCATTCTCTTTTTAAAAAAATGATGTATGCGTTGTTGAGTAACGTATACATGAGTTGCTTCTTGGATCATAAAGCGATTGAAGATTTTATTTTCATCGCATATTGTGTTGTAATCTAATACATCATCTTGATTAAACGACCAGTCTGTAAGATTATTATCATCCTTGATTGTTGGTTTCTGCAATTAAGAATAACATTAGCAATTGAAGTATAAAATAAATATCATACTAGAAGTTATCTTGATATTAGGTGATAACTTTTTTCTAACTTCCATCCCTTATCGAAAAAGTTGATTTTTGCAATAAAATTCGATATTAATACTTACACAAAAAAAAAATGTAATGGTGGTCATATTTAAAAGTCTGTATGATTCATAGGAATTTCAACGAATTTTTAAAGCTTTCAAGAATTTAAAAGAAAAACACTGAAAAAGGAATTCCTCATCGCTAACAAGAAACTAACTTCTTCAACCTGAATTGTTGATGACACTTCATTGCAGTCAATTTTTTTAAAGATCATGTTTCGCTTCAGTGACTAACAGAAAATAATTTTTAATCCGGCTTACTTTCTTTTATGAAAGAAAGCGTTTCTATAAATTCACCATCATTTTTTTAGTCTTTTTTTGATAGTAAATCTGATAATTCTCTATTCCACGTTGGAAATTATGATATTAAGGAAAGAGTCACATGTAGGGGTGTTACTTTATTTTTGTTTTTCTTCATAATAAAGAATAAAGAAAGATTTTTTTCTGTGGTAGGTAAATAAATGAATACCTAATATAACAACAGAAATATATTGATCGGCCTTATTTCTTATCATCAACAGCACTTCTATATGAAATATTGTTAAAAAATGACGATGATATAAGAAAATATTTATGTAAAACATCTTGTCTATATCTTTTTTTTCCATCTATGATGCTATTATTTTTTGTGAGCTATCTAGAGACGATAATATATTAAGTTTTCATAGAAAAAAAGTTTCATCATTATTTATTTTATAAATATAAAGATTCTCTGTGTCTTTGTTCCATAAAGTAAATATAAAGTAACACCCCTAGTCATATGTAGATCTTGCATGTGAGTGTCCCGTGTCAAACAAAAATATAGTTATTTCTGATTAAGTCTCATCAAGAGTTACGGATAGATAAGTAATCTATTTTTCGTTCTGGTTTGAATATCTCGTTAGAAGATAATGAAACCAAGCTGATCATTTTTATCATCGTATTTGCATCTTACGACCACCATAATGTGAAAACTTCATGCGAATTTTCCATACTTGAGATGAGGTCACATTTTAAAGGGATGGATCTTACCTAACGAGAGAACCATTCCTACCTGAGGGTTACAGAAGGAATTATCATCAGCAGTTGTCAAAACACATAAAAGAAGTCAACTATTTTCTCGGAAAAACCTGTTTTCTGCCTACAAATCGCTATATTTTCTTTGAAATCATTTCCTAGTCTCATAGTTGGAGCAGCTTATGTTATACTACATTATTCAAATACTTGTGGAGATTTTGTTTCTAGATCTAGACATATTTTGAAAACTCTACAACTGTATTGAAAGAAAGAGACAGTTATTTCATGATTTTTTTTTCTTTTTTCAGACAGATTGAAAAAATGTAAATATTTGGAAACACGGCGAGTCAACATAAATGGCATATTAGAATTTGAGGAGTCTGTGATCTGATAATCAGTCTGATGACTACGAGATTTGCAGATCCTCAATTATTAACTAGATGGACTGTTTACCAGTAAACATCGAAACACGAGAGCCATATTTCAACAAAGGTTTTAACTGCAAAACTTTTAGTGGAATGATATTTTAGGAATTGAATATTTGGATACCTGAACTAAAGATTAGAAGATATTTTCAGACTAATCAACTGATATTACAAAAGAAAAATAGAATGGAAATGAGCAAATCAATCTCGTTGTTACCGAATAATACACTTGTCGAAATTTAAATTTTTGTTCATCTTCATTGTTGCATGCACTAGTACCCATGATAGATCGATAGATTTTTGAACTTGTCTTGAATCGTTTTGATCTATCCAATGAATCTAATTCTCCTTGAGTACTGCTGCTGTTGCCTTCGAATAAATAAACAAAACTATATGAAAATATTTAGAAGAATATTTCATCTAAATATGAATTTAAATTTAACGATGCGCATAAAACTATTCATTTATTTCCTTTATAGATTATGTTTCTACCTGAATTAATATAATTTGTTTTGCGGTTATTAACATGTATTTTACATTCTTGTCGAAAAAGATTAAATTCTCGTAATATTCCTGGTTTAACTTGAATAAGAGCTGATAACGATGATGATGTATTATACAAAAATAAACTCTGTTTGTCTTTTTCATTCATTGAATCATGTACAGAAAGCAATTCCTTTTGCAAATCTTCGCATTGAATAAAACCATTGTACGTTCTTATACCGAGTTTTAGCATCAAAGTATCAGCTAAATCTGTTGGTGGATGTGCGCGAACGAATGATTCAAAATCAAAACTATCAATTGCTTTTATACGTTTGACGCGTTTGTTCGATGTCATTGTATTTAATAATGAGAATATGATGAAATCGATGATAATTGAAAAAACTATGGAAATTTACCTTTATACGTATTCTTTTTCCTTTCTTTCCAGTTATAATTAATTTGTTCTCATTCGCATTGTCACCAATATCGATCATTCATAACGATATCACAAGTGCATGACTCTCACATCAATGCAGTAGTGTAAATAGTGTAAATCACTTATGCACTAAGAATGAAAGTCTTTCTGAACAACTCATGCTAAGGGTAACTGAAGTATATCCCTGGTACAACTTTTTTATTTATGCAATTAAGTTCTTTCCATTAGCAAGTTGACTATAGTGACGTCTCGCGTTTAAATTTCCTTCAAGCACAATTTAGTTGAGATACGATAAATCTAAGTTTAGCGAATTTACATGGATTTTATCTTTATTGTAAAATTGTATTGTACTCTTGTGAAAGGACAGTTCCACGGAGCTTCTTGCAGATTTACATCGACTTTCTTTTGGCAAGATACAAATATACTAGTCTTTTGGTTCTCGTTTAGCAGTGTAGGAATCATTATTTCGTTTTGTCTCGAATCATGTGCTAACTGCAGTATCACTAATTTGATATGCTTATTCGGCTGAAATTGACTGTCGATGGGTATATTATGCGATATACTAGATGGTTGGAGAGCAGAAACACGAATATTCAAAGTAAACAGATGTTATTTTTCAGGTTGTCGATGAAAAGCTGCAGTTAGTTATTAGAATGAAATTAACTTTTAACACCTATTGACTTCAACAAAACAGATCTACTAGACTTCGTCAAGAAAGCAAAGCGAATCCATAAATATTGCTAAGTTCTTTTTACAAAATATTATAATTTAGTAATTTAATAAATGAATTGAGAAAAAAAAACTCTAGTTTGTTTTTCTCTCATTTGGCTATTAATATTTTATGGCTCGTCTTGCCATTTTCTTTTTGAAGTTATTTGAGAGACGTGATGTAGTTTTTCTTGATGCTCTTAGTCAGACCAAACTCTAAGGTTTGGATGAAAATTTCTAGATCAGCGATCTTGTCACATATTGTAACCAGATCGTCAGCATCCATTAAAGTCAGAAGGTGAAAGTCGCCGTATTTGTACGAATTGGTATGAAAAAAAATCTTTACTCCCTGATACTAATTTGATGCCAGATTATACTCGTCGCATTCACCTTATCAATAACACAACGAATTATGAAATCGAACAAGATATTGAAGACAATGCAGGACAGGATGTCATCTCGTAACATACCAGTACAGAGCGATTTTGCTTGTAAGACCATAGTGTTTGCAAATTTGACACGGAAGATCGTAATTGAGAGAATTTAAAGCTTTTAGTATATCAATGAAGCACATGAAAAGTCGATTGTTGTAGTCTCGCAATTTTTCCATGACCATTTTGAAAGTGAATATAGAATTGTAGTATGAAATCATACAATTGATAAAGTCAAATCATCTGACCCATAAAAAAATAAAACTAGTCATCTACTAGTTCGATGAATCTTAATATTTAAGCGTAAAACGATACCTCTGCATAAAAATATATGATACAATGGAACTGCTAAAATTACAAACGATGGAAAACAAAGAATGTTGTTTGTAACATCTCACAGTACGCAGGATAGAAGACCAAAAAGACAGATATCATGAATTCAATCATACTTAGTCTTCAAGCAGTGAGTGGCAACGTCAAGACATCTATTATCGTCTGTGATGGTTTGAATTTTTCTTCCCGTACTTTGACAGTCGTTATAGTTCGTGTTTCACAAGACTTTTTCAATTACTGTAAACCTTTGTTAATGAATTAGTTAAAGAATAGGTCTCTAAAACAGTAATCTACGATTTTCTTTCATATTAACATGACTCATGAAGTGCGTAATCTTCTGAACTATGAAAACTCAATAAAATGACCATCATCTGAGTATATTAAGTAATATGTCTTTTAAATATTTGATTGATTGATTCTAAATTTATCTTCGGGAATCTTACTATTGATTATACTGATGTTAAATTATATATATAAAATTACTTAATAAATATTTTGAAGTAAATGCATTCGATGAAATACTTGTGCGTCATCGAAATGAATTTAAAACACATACAGAACATCTGCAGAAACGTAAAGAAGCGTTATATGAAAGAGAAATTATGTTTAAAGAAAGAATAATTAGGTTAGAAAAAACGATCGATTTTTTTCCTTTGATCTATTTGAATCATATTATTGTTTTGTTTAGTTATGAAATGTATATTAAAGTAAGAATAAAAATGAATTTATTATTAATTGATAGAAAGTTTTTATTTTACAATATTAAGGAACTATCAATGAAACGTGATCGATCATTACGTCGAATTGATGATGAAAAAAAATTAATTAAAAATCAACAAATTGAAATTGATTTATTTAATCAAGAAATTCAACAAATGCAAGATGAAAATAAAAAATTAGAAAATATTATTCTTCAATATCAACCTAATTTAAATCTTCTAACACAAGTTAGTTTACAAGAATAATGTCGAATGAGATGATCATTCTTCATTTTCAAAGCTCCTCATACCACTTTGCAGAATAACTTCTAACGCATACAATGGAGATGATGTAACCAAATACTAAGAGTCAACATTCGATATATGTGAAATCGTGGGATATGGCTAATAAAAATTCTACACTTTTTTCATACTTTCATCAAAATTTGATATAAATTCATTTGGAGATATGCTGATTCATAGAATTTAGTTACATCAACTTCGATTACTATAATATCATTTAACTGATGTATGACTTCTCAGAACATAAAAATTTGATGAAAAAGCAATTTTCTATACAAAATGATATCGTTGGCTTTTCAAATCAATAGTATTCATTTTATTCGACAGTGTCCTGAGTTTTTTTTAAAACATATATCATATTATTTTTCAGATTGTAGATCAAACTGATCAATTCCAATCAACTGATGAAATGATTGAAAAATTTGATATGCTTTATGCTAGCTATCAAGTAGAAATGGATTTCTTCTTTCTAACTTATTTTGTTGTTATCAAATTTCTTTATTGAGGATATTCTTACGACTATTAAAAATTCTAATGAAGAATTAAATGATGTACTACGACAATTAGTATTAACCATAGTAGTAAAATATATTTCGAAATCATTTCATTAAAATTTGATTGAAATTTTAGAAAAAAAATAATAAAATGTCCTCAATGAACAATCGTATATGAGAATTGCAACAAAATCTTATTGAAATTCAACAACATATTAATAAACTTCAAACAGAAATTAATAATTATCAACAAACATCAATAGAAAATTTAACAGAAATTGGTACAATTAAAATGTGAGACAATCAACATTAAATAGACTTTTTATCTTACATAAAAATATTTACATTTTAGTGCTATTGAATCAATGTTTGATTTGGTAAAAAAGATATAGTCATCGTTGTAGAAAAAAAGATTTAAATTTTGATAAATATTCACAAATATTGAGCATTTATGATAGTTGAAAAATAGATTCTCTATTGATCGTAGATGAAGTTTATTTTAAAAATGTGAATAAATCTGAAAGATGTTCTCCATATGTGCCTAGAAGAACCACTAAAAGGAGAACAAAAATGACGGCAATATGTCACTGAATAAGATTTGAAATTTCCACATCGATCAATAGTCACTTATTGATTTTAGAATCCTTTTTCAATTTCATTTTCCATTGAAATTAATTCTGAAATCTATGTCAAATGTGAGATAGGATCTTCTTTCTCTCTATTAAAATAAGCACTTACCATATCAGTTAATTCAATGTAGATTAATATTTCATCAGCCAATACACAAATCCTTGGATTGAACTTTTCAAGTTTACTTAATTCCGCTCTAATGAAAAAGTCAGGATATGCTCCACATGATGAAAAAAAATTCATCAGCAGTGCTTATTTATTTGACAAACTGCTTAACAGAACAGCGGCATCCCCTCAAGACACAAAAGAGAACTTTTCTAGGACTATTTTCAATGTCTTTTGCTACAATGACTAGATCGAATAAGGGTGGGTGGGTGTGGGTGAGTGCAGGTCTGGGTCTGGATATGAGTGTGGGATGGTGGGGGTGTAGGTCAAGACCAACATCCACCCACCCACACCCACACCCACACCCATACCTGTCTGTAACGATCTGTGATGCTGGTATGACCTGTCTCTAACAATCTGTGATGGGAAAATCAGCTGTCTGTAACGGTCTAGGGTGGGGGTCCAAATTTCTACCCTAAACACTTCAACACTCCTTTCAGGTCGTGTTTCACAAAAGGAAGATAGAAGCATTGAAATGCAAAATTTGTAAAAGAGATTGAACGGCAATGGATCGAATCGTCAACATTTCTGGTGCAACAATACAAGAGTACGTCTTTTCTTCCTTGCTGTAATGTCATTTAAGATTTTCCATAGCCATCGACCATTTTGAATTTTCGCTACTCACATCTCAACTAAGAAATGAAGTTATGAAGCATGATTAGATGCACACAAAACTGGCGAATACAATCGTATTCAAAATTTGAATTAAATTTTTTCGAGTAGGATCTATATCTACAAGAAACTACCAACAAAATATCAAAAATAATTTCATAAAAAACAATTATAAAGTGAAAAAGAGATTCAAAAACATCTCAAATAGTGAAAATGGGTTATTAAAGTATTGACAATACCAAATATATGTTTTAGAATAATTGACGAAGAAATTTATCTATTCCTGGTGAACAATAGATATATTTTCTAGCGCACCTCTATTCCCTCCCTATTCTTTCGCCCTGTTGTAAGCTACTCCTTCGTTGCGTTTATTTTGTATCTTTTTTTGAAATTCTATTTGTAATTTCTCTCTTTTTCTCTAACTTCCTTTTTATTTCCTGTCGCAGGTTAGTAAAAGTTTTTTTTTGTACTGATAGGCCTACTCTAGGCATCAGTTTTTCTTCTATTAGATGAGCAAAATAAAAAAAAAAAAAAGAACAATAGATATAACAAACATTGAAATACAGTATATGTGTCTCCAATATATTAAAAGTATGGATAGATCGATTATTCACACACATAAGTTTGGTACAGCATTTAAGTTATTTCAGTGGCTATCAAAAGAACAACTAAAGAAAAAAAAACATGCGGCTAGATGTCTTCCATAAATCCAATATGGTTTGAGTATAAGATATCTTAGGAAAGCTCAAAAAAGTCTCATTCTTATAGAAAATTGTTCATTTTATCATCACGTATAACAACAGAGAATTTTATACTCGGTTTGTAGGTGCTACGAAACTATTGATTTAATATTATGCAATATGTTCTCATTATATGTATATTCAATGTTGGCAGAAAAACATTTCATTAAAAAAAAACTACTCATTAATAATTTTTTCACACTCTTTTGAATGAGATGTTACGCGATACTACATGATATAATTTGATTCCACAACATGAAAAATCCTGAAATTTCGTTTTTCTTTTCGCAATTTCGAAGGATGGTTCAATTGAAATGCGTACAACTTCGTAAAGGTAGGATATCAAAGTGTAAAAAACAGGGAGTGTTAGGAAAAATAATACTATGGCTTAAGATAATCAGATTTGATAGCTTTTATCAGTAAATTCGTTTTAAGTTATATTTGATGACTTTTTCTTCACGCTTGTGCAAAACAAAACACAATGATATTTATGAGTCATTGTCGATTAATTACGTTTTGCTGGCGTAATTTCGGATTTTACCGATATTAATCGATCTTTTCTGTTGGGTGTGGGTGTGGTGTGAGTGTTGATCAGAAGAAGACTAACATTCGCACCCATACTCACATGTTCACACGCGCACGTCCACCCACATCCACACCCTGCTCATACCCACATCTACATCCAACCACACGCACATCCACTCCACACCGATTCAAAGACGAAAAGAAAGAAAAAGTAACTCCTTTACTGATCATTTGTCACAAAGAAGCATTCTAAACTTAAAGAGAGATACATCAAAGTAAAATATACTGTGATGGATTAATGAATTTTATTTCTAGAACATAATTTTCATGAAAACAGCTATTAGCGTTTACTGATGAACAGAACTAGAAATGTGGATTTTTTATTGCAAAGACAAAGTTCTCATCTAGGACATTTACGTTCTGTATTCCTAATAGTCAATATGAGAAGTACAAAGTAATTGATATATACATTGCTAATGTATACTCATTCACGTTTCGCTACATCCATTAAACGCTTTCTCCAGTATTTCGCAAACAATATCTCATTTGGTAAACGATTATATTCAAGTGACTGCAAATATTCAATACTCAGATTATTCCAATCGTCAACAATAAGAACGGCTGCATCGGTAAAAAGAGGATCTAATCGCGATCGGAGTACAATAGGTACTGCACCCATCAGAATAGTCTCCCATGTGCGGTGACAATCTAAGCCGTGGCCACGTGGGGAAAGGACAAACTTGGCATTACCAAGTTCCCTCAAATACAGTTCATGCGATGTAACATGGGAATGCGTTACATTAGGAAGTCCAAGCGCCCACTTTAAAGCTTTCGATCGTTGTACTCGGTTGTTTTTTACTTGAAAATTAACAAATAAAAGCGTCGTTCGGCGTGAAAACGACTTTCGATAAAATTTAAACGCTTGTTTGAATACGCTGACATTTCCATGTGGCCATCGAGCATTTGCCAGCCCAATAGGTATCGGAAATAACTTTTTGTGTATGTGATCTGGATTTGAAGCAAACCAAGCCAAGATTTTCTCATTGTCTAAGACCCATCTAAAATGACGAGTAGGTACCGATGCATCAGAATTGTGAGTAATAAGAACGAATGGATGTCGAATCTTGTTGAAGGTAACATTGGAGAAAAACTTTATCAATGGAACTTCAGTTCCCAGGAACACTGTATCTCCTAAACCTATATCCGAGATGCGCTCCGGCCATTTATTAACATCTGTTGTTTCATCGAAAACATGATCCGCCATTGCACGAAATGTGTCGCCACTAATGAAAGGATAGGATGAGTTTCTACTCACGGTAGCGTGTCGAAAGAAAGGCTTCATAGCAGAATAGCTCTTGTCAGACATAAGAGTATGCCAATTTTCAGCGTTTTCAGACGAACACTTTGTGATTGGTTGGCTATCGAATATTTTGCACTTGAACTCATGTGTAGAAAGGATGTGTAAGCATTCCACTAGCAGAACAAGAAGTCCACAGAATATTAACCATGCCCGACCGAAATCGTTCTGCAAAAGTATGCGAAAACAAACGATACGAGTTGGCATCAGCTCACGATACGAAATGGTTCAGCAATCCACAATAAGCTGGAAAAAGCAAAAAATCATAGCTATATTTTTACATGAATTCTGCTTACATGTATTTCTGAAAAGAGATATTAGATGAATGTTCTCTTAGTGAATAGAGAAAGTTCAGAAAATTAATATATGTAAGTTCTCTTCCTATTTGGTTTTTTTGGAAAATTATTTATTTTCAATTTTTCGATCAATGAAATTGATTTTTTGCAGAAAACTTCCGGATACTTAATATCAATAAAATAAAATAAATGATAAGGTAGTAAATCATACAGAAAGTATCGTTATTATTTCTCAGGCAGGACATCCTGAATCTCGAACAAAATGTGAACGCTGATCCGATGCCGTATAGACAAAAACTCAACCAATTGGATCGCACTTGAATTTTTTAGAATAAAAAAAAAATATGAAGTTTCAAAGAAGTTGAGAACTATTCAAACTACAGATCTCATGAATCTATCAGTTTTCACTGATGAACCATGGGAGCTTGCTCGCTTAGGTTCTGTAAAGGTTAATAATTAATCTATATGCGCAAAGTGTTAAAAGCTGTTAGTGCAATCCCTTGCGGAATTACAAATGTGAAACAGAATGGATCTATTATTGCTAATTATATGAAAATTGTTTTGTTCCATTTCCTTACAATACATATGTAAATAACTGCTTATTTGATGTTCTAGAACTACAGAGTCTCTGTCGCGATCTGTGATGAGTATGGAGATTGTCTGTCACGGTCTGTGAGAGGAGGGGAGCGGATATAAAAATTCCACTCTATGCACTTCAACATTCCTGTCAGGTCGTGTTTCCCAAAATAAATTAGTACAAATAACTAGCATGAGAGACAAAATTCTGCTAGGATGTGGTTAATATATTAGTTGGGAAAGCAGTAATAATGTGGTACAAATTTACGTTAATACAAAAAGGAAAAATTCAACAATACAAAAAAATAATTGATGAAGTAAAATTGGGCACTTAGTTTTGCTTTGGTACTAAGTGTCAAGTGAAAGTTCAGCTGTTAGTAACTGATTGCCATATTACGTTTTCGTTTAGCTGTTAGTAGCAAGTTATGACTAATGTCCCACTCTTACAATCATCTAAAGATCTTCTTTGTAGCTTTTTGATCATTACATGATTCGCGTCTCATGAAGGCAATAACACTCCACATATAGTGCTCTTTCTATTCCAGCACTAAATACTACTTTTATTAGGATTACATCGTCTAATTCTCAACGAGTTTGATTCTTTCAAGCTATAAGAAATATCTCATGGTCTTGTACTTCGTTGTATAGAAGAAGGTGTGAGTGTACAGCAAGAGAAGATACATACCCACACACTCATACTCAAACTTATTCTAAATTGTCATCATTTTTTATTCCATTTTCCGATGTTCCTACGGGCTAGTTCGCTTTATACGAAAAGCTTGCTCACTATTGATCAACTTGTTTTGGCACCAACCGTTATTGAGAAGCCATCAGTGTTTGATTAATCTTCTATTGCACTAAATTTCGTCTTCAATATGATCATCGGAATGGAACGATCTCGATGTATTAGCATTCTAGTTGGCATTGCAACTCGTTTACCCACGGAAAATAATGGACTTTATTAATTTTTTAGCTTCTATCTTTATTAAAAGTATTCAATGCTAAGATATATTCTACTCTTGTAAAAATTATTGTAATCGGTTTTGGTTACGCTCGCTATCATAAAAAAATCTTTTCATGACCATGAATGTAGCTCAAAAATAAATTTTCAATTTTGCGCAACCATAGTCAAGGAAATTTTGTTCCACTAATCTCCTATTGAAAGTTATAAGCTTAACTCAAAAAGTTTCTAGTTTTTAACAATCAGCATGTAAGTGCACTTAAACAGAGCTGTTGATCTGCGCAAACGAATAGGTGCTCTTGTATGTTCGCGATCTAGCTAAGAAAGCTTTATGAGTATTTTATCTTCCCTCTTTCCACACAAGGTGATGTCGGTGGATGTTTGTGAATTCAGTTCCAGTAGCTCTATACAGCTGTGGTAATAGGTTGGGGACCAATAGTGTTGGTTGGTGTTTGTGTATTTATAAAACTTCTCGGACTATTTGGATGCATAACACATGCAATGTCAAACATAAATGACAGCAGTGAGAAAATGTCGGTTTCCAGATGACCTCGATCAGATTAACCGTTTCATGATTTAATGGTATTGAGTTTTAGAAACCTTTACTCTGATTATTTCCTGCGGACGAAAATTTCTGTAATCTCTTCGAATGAATATGGAGATTGATAATTTGAATTCCTTTAATGTAAGGGTGTTTAAGATGTTTCTGTTCGCTGGATCGCCAATCCAAGACGAGTCCTCTGGGGTCTATTAAACGATTTGTCTCCCAATGCGATGAGTTCGGCTTTGCATAGGTTCCTCCAAAGTATTGCCCTAAAACACAGGCATCAAAAATTATTGGTGTTCGATTAAGTCCATGACAAAAGCAACAGCTTTCATTTTTAGAATAGAACCACGTGGGCAGCTCAAACACTCCAGTTCTGATGGACTGTTGAGGAGATGCAGCGAATAAATGTAAATAACGTGCACCGAGTGTCATATCATTAATCATTCGTGTCTTTAGATATTCAATAGCTTTTTCACGTCCCATTTCAAAGATATTCACAATCCATTTTGCAAAATGCTCGATTGCTTTGCTATTTCGTATAAATACAAAGGATGTCACTGCTTGATTAGCACTAGCTCGTGCGATAGCTAGCGAAACATTACACACATTCATACGTGTGGCAAGGTGATAGAGATCGCCGTAAAGCATATTATCATTTTCCATATGGAAGACGTTGGATAGCCCTGTCTCATTCATGTACGCATAAACGGCTATCAGTCGCTCAACCGCCTGCTGAACGAAATTCTGATTTCCACCTGGTCTCATGCGACCACTCTCAAAATATACCCGTCGAAATTGTTGAAGTAAAGAGTTGGACTTAAAAAGTTCTTCTATAAACACAATATCAGCTCCAAAAAGGCGAAATTTAGAAGCAGTTATATTGGTGTAAGCATCTTGGTTCAAAATAACGACGAGGAAGATATTTGGATTCGTCAATCGTGCTTGTTCCAATGCGTGCCATATATATGGCTGATGTTTTGTGAAGGCTTGTTTACCAAGACACGTGAAAATAAGAGTTGGCTTTCTTATATGAAATGTGTCATTTGATACCATCTTTCTCCAAAAGAGAATATCACTGTATATTGAGTCATAATTCCATCTCTTGCAAAGAACACTGAAGTTAATTAGGGCATACAGTATAACAAAGAACGTGAGAATATGGTTCCGCTTTGAGTGAACACATTTTCTTACTATTACGCAGCAATCCATTTTCGACTTTCGGTTCATTGGTTACCTACGAAGTACAGACCGTACACTTAGTGACGCTTTCTTTCACTACTGCACCATTATGTAGGTATTTTAGTCTTCTCATTTGGGTCACACGATGTATTGGTATTGTAATTTATGCATAATAGGAACAATAATAGTATTTTTTTTGCTACCTAACACAGTAATTATGCCGTCATATAATAGTCGTTGAGTTGCAAGGACAAATCACTTTGTGTGATACAAGACTACAAATTGTGATGTATATCCTTCGGCAATGCTAACGATCTTGTAATGAGAAGACTAATCAAGGAAAGTACTATACGTGATACAGAAGAAAATCGATCTAAGCGATACAATTTCTATTATCGCCCTAGAAAGGACGTGGGCGGGAATGACCATTTTCTGTCTCAATTTTTTTAAAACTTGTAATCCTCTAAAAAGTATCAGGGGTTATTAGAAGTGTTTTATACCACTTAGTCTTGCACGATTTTCTAGTTAAGACCCCCTCTGACGACCCTCCCTAGGGTTCACCCATGGGGTCCCTCTCAGGGATCGAAAAAACCTTTTTTTCAAGTATCTTCAGAAGCATATCGTTTATATGTAATTTTGTGAACTGATCACGAATATCGTATTTATATTTCGATTAAGTTGAGTTTTGTACCTGAAAAATGCATTTTACTGCTAAATGGACTATAGCGCCACCGCCACATATATTTCATATATTGATCCATTTATAAATGAAAATATTGTTTTTCTCCTTTCAAAAGATCCCCAAATGTCTAAAAACGTTTGCTCTACCGATTGCAATCGATTCATTTTTGAAAACAGTCCATAAGCAATCGAAATGTTCGATATAGTTATAAAAAATACCTCATAGATAGGTATGACGCATCATCTTGAGCAGCATTTTGGTACCGCAAAACGGTTCGGCGTCAATAAGCCACATATACACTTTGATGCAGTTTTTCATGCTCTATTCGAATATCGTCTTTAAATTAAAAAACACGATGCATGATTTTGTCAAAATCACGAAATACTATCACCAAGTACCGAAAAATTGCATTTTTCACTCATATTTTGCTAATTTTATCGAAACGGTTCAGTTTCCAGTAGAAACAAATATCATATTTGAAATCAGCATCAAAAACTGAGTCGATCCATGTATATTTTAAAATATTTCGAGCAATTTTGTTTTTCTCGAAAAAAACCAGCCGGGGTGGCCCTCAGGGATCCATCAAAAAATGAATGCAGTGAAAGAGTAGTTTCTATCGTTCAGGCATCTATTCTATTGACATTTTCTAGCATTTTAATAGTTCTGACCTTGTTTTACAGAATCAAAGTGATGTTCTAATGAATTCATTTTTTGATGGATCCCTGAGGGTGATCCGGGCTGGTTTTTTTCGAGAAAAACAAACCTGCT